TGAAGATTTTCTTATGAAATGAAATGCGCTCTTCAATTCTAAGTTGGACACGCTTTGAGCTGAGCAAAGTGTGATTAAATCCATTGAGTCTGGAGACAAAATGTCTTTTCTCTTGCCTCCCCCTGTACATTGCGGTGAGCAATATGTGGGCAAAATTACGGTAATAACATATATTGGTCATCGAAAACGATGTGGCTGAGAACGACCGGCAAACTAATAATATCGCATTTGCGAAAACTTATCAAACAGAAAGCAATATTACTCTTTGGAGTGGACGCTTTCTGCTTGATAAATAAGCGAAGACTTCCTAGAAAGTCATCGACTCTGTTGTGTAGGTACGTTCTGCCGAGTGGGTCTATGGCTTTCAAGAGGGACTGCTCAACTATTCGATGTTGCTCTTCGATGCTTCATATTATGCTTGTAGCAATGCCTCTCTTTTGACATACTGAATACAGAACGCTCCACAGGACTTGAGTTGGGAGAACTATGTTGTCACTTCTCTAATATGATGAATTCCACGATATTCTTGTCATCAATTTTTGGACAATCTGTGCACTGTGAGTGCCCAATCTTGCTCTGATGTCCTGTATTTCCTATGAAGGGTGCCTTCGTTATTGAAGCATCAACCGAGACAGAGAGAGATCGAGACCATTTCAATGGTTTCATATCATGGGCAGCAGGCGCGAGGTGTCAAATCGTGATTCCTGCTCTTATGATTTGATTTCTGCTAAAACCATTACTGAATGGCTGGTTGGCTTTTCACCAGCATTAGCTCAGGCGCTCTTCTTATTCGAGACGGCAGATTATATTCTCATCAGGGGAAATGATACAAGGAAGGGGCTCATTATGGAATCGAGACAATCTCTTCTAAAATCTTTGCTATCTGTTCAACTTCTACGTATCGGTTAGATGTTAAGTTCTCTATGCTTGTAAAACTTCCTAGTTAGGAGTGCGCAAATAGGGCTTTGCAAGAAAGTGCGCTCGACAGCAATTTCAGCGGCCATACGACTTGAGAAAGCAGGCTTCCAGCGCTTTTTTGCACCCACGTTCGAGATATTACTCGTGAACCGTACAAGCAATCCTTTCAGATCCGGGCTTGTTGAAGGTAGTAAAGAGCCCATAATATTAGGTTGTCCCGAAATTAATGCCGGTTTCAATGTCTCATACTTTATTTGATATTTTTCCGAGAAATTTCCATACGATTGCTGTACTATTGCATATCGTTGGAAAGCCCATTTCATTCTCTTTCTTGCACGGCCATTGTATTTTGATGGGACTCGGGCCTCACTTTTTTAAAGGTTTCCTAGTTTCCGGGGCCCGTTTGAAGTGAAGGCGTCAAAGTAGTGGTTTGAGCAGGTTCACTTCTATGAGTTGAAATTTGGAGAGGGTGCTGTGCGGACAGCTCGGAATAGGATTGCTGTGTGGGGCTAAGGATGTTGCAATAAAGCACACTGCTTCGATGGCTCCGAAGCTTTCCAGTTCAGGGAACTCTAGATTCGAAGTGAGGGGGCCTTCCGGAGTAATGATGCATCGCAGCTTTCTGAACCCAGGTGATTTTGGTAGAGCATCAATGTCTGTCCATAACATCGTTATAATGCTCCGTAAAGAGCAAATGCTCTAACCAGAAGAAAGGAAAAGAACTGTTCTCCATGTTGACGCCCAGCCACATGTCGCACAAAGGTCTTCGTAAGAAAGGGATAAATCAACCTATCCAGCTTTGCTTCTTACAGTACATTACGCAAGATCTATTTCGACAGCTTCTTGGGGTGGAAAAAGATTTGAAAACCGAGACATGATGGAAAAGACCTTGGCCGATATTTGAGCTTCTATTGTTCCTGTATCTCAAGTTCGTTAATTAAACCAGTACGCTTCCTGTTAAGAAAAATGAGTAGTTTCCAACACTTTTTTGAATTACTGAAAATGTTGAGTTTGAGCTGAGATATGTTGCTTTGAAGACGGAGGTCAAAAACCGGCATTAATTTCGGGACAACCTAATACTTTGTAGAATGGTGGTAGACGGCAATTGCTTAGTTCTGGAATATTCTCAATGCAACACAATCAAACAGCTCGTACAAAGCAGTGACCATGTCTCGGGAAGTTAAAAGATTGTCCATCCCAAAGTCGATGTTTAGTATTTCAGAAAATCAGAGAGGGACGCTGAATTTTTTGAAATAAAATAAAAATAAGCACATATAATGCAAATCAAAAATCAAAAAAAAAAATAATTAATTGCAGTTGTTTTCACACATTATTGGAGGGAGATATTGATTTTTTGGCTGTAGAAAACAGATTGAACAACATGAGACATTACGGTCGTACCATTAAATCGTGCCACTTTTTACACCTCATGCCAGAACTTCATTTAGCGATTCCTGATTATGACGAAGTAGGCTAAACTTGTTACGTGAAGCCACCGGAACCTGCGAGTATCTTGCTACGGAAGCACCACACTTAGACATCTCAGATTGATGGTTAATAGAGTTCTGCGCTCCTAAAGGGAATTGCAGAGGCTACAACAAAGAAATCCTCATGAAATTGATAAACGAATTAAAACACATCAGCATTGAAGGCTTATGCCGGTGACGTTTTGGAACCAAAGTGAAAGCAGTGAAGAACGCTGTTTGCCTGCTGGAGTAAGCAAGGGAAGTTCATTTACCGTACATTACACGAATTAGTATTAGGATCTTCGACGAAGGTGCAATATTTCGAATAAAGATTTCACAGTCGAGATTGTCTAGGGAGTCAAATCGACAGGCACCTCTACAGCTCCTATGTGAGTAGTGTAAGCAGGAACACCACTTGGAAATTCTGATCTTGTACCTGTCTTAGCATCCTTCCCTTTCCATTAAACCGCTGAAACTCGATCTTTCTGCTGCCACTCTAATGCCTGGTGCGAAAAGTTCTGAGGACGTCATGCTTTCATTGTTGTGAAATGTTTTGAAGGAAAGTCATAAAATATGTCATGAGAATAAACGAAAAATTCCATTTGTTTGTTCGTTGAAACAATAATCAAAGTTGGGAAGTTTGAAGAAGCACACATCAGTCTTGAAGCATCTATCAATCTGTTCCAGATCATTCATGGCGACGTCGTTGCCAGGAAATATCCTAGGTAATACGACCATACGCAATTCGTTCCATATCATCGTCACGCATTTCACGTACTTCCTCTTGTCTATCTCCTATATGGCATTCCCAGCCTGCTTGTAACGCTAAGAATTATCCAAGCTGTCGTCAATCCAAAATTCAGAAGCTTCTTCAGAAAGCCGTTTTTCAGTCTGTTCACACACGATTGCGTTGTGGTAAGTGGGAACTTGAGCTGGTTCGGCAATTCTGGGATTAACTTTAGTTTCATCGTGTGGTACAAAATATCAGTCACCAGAGGTTTCGGTACAGCAAGGTAGCAAGAAATTATTCGCTAAAATTGTGGGCAAAGTATATTATTAGATCGTTTCATAACTATAATATTAATATGATATTTTTCTGAGGCAGCTACACCTACTGATTCATTTGCTGATTTTAATTATTTTACAAGAGAATCAAGCATAACACCTAATACTTTGTTTGGTCCTCATTTTTTTAGTGGCAGCTAGAGCGTGAGAAATTTCAGGGCATAATTTTCTTTGTGATAGATTTTTTAACGATAAGAGTGCCAGCTTCGGGACTGATCACTGGCTGGTTGACAACGCTCCCACCTGGCCGATATATCACTGCAATCTATGCGCTAGTATACTATTTATTATACATCGCCTTATACTCAGTAACCTTCCTGTCGATAATGAGAGCCATAATTATTTGCTTATCTACTGGAGGCGACGAGGTAAGAAAACTGAAGTGGCAAACAGCCTTCAATTTTCAGTCAACTAAATTGAAGCTCGAAAGAATTCTGCTATTTCTCTTGTTGTCCTTATAGGTATATTAGCGATTTTTTATCAGTGGGAGGTTATGAGAATGAGCAGGGCACTGTTTTGATAGATAAAGCGCCACAATGACAGATAATCCTGTATTTATTGCTGCTTATGTGGGAGCAAATATGTATCCGCAGTGATTTTATTGCAATCAGCTGGCTTTAATCGTCAACGTTTTGCGAAAAGTAAAAATGCCTACAACCAGCCTTGCAAAGATGTGGTAAATTTTTCGGTCACTGATAAAATATCAGCCTTGCATTCTCGGTGTTTTACGGCATATAACTAAACGTATGACGCGATAGTTCGTTATATCTTTCTTCTCTCTAAGGCTAGCAATCTGTTGATGAGTCTAGTTCTGTATTGAAGCCTTGCTGGCTCAAGTTGGTTTTGCAAGTAAGCAAGTGTACATTGCCTACGATTTTGGCATCCACCTTTACATGTTGACCATGAGGAAACTTAGATCCAGATTCAATCGTCTCTGTTTTGCACCTATGGCTGCAATTTCTTTCTACTGATATCCTATTCGAAAAATGTGGGCATATTACGGGACCAGTGAATAGGCTACTCATCACCAGCCTTCTAATTATTTTGAGAGGTTTATTTTTGAAATAATGAATACATGAACATACAAAATTAATTTTATACCTTACATCTGATGAAGTTTTTCCTTCATAGTTTTGGAGTAGCTAGGAAGGGCGGGGGCGACGGTGAGGCATTCGTTAATTACCACTGACTCCTCCTGAAACCTTTTCAGACGGTTAAAAAGCTACTTCCGTTCTTCTTCTCGACTATCTACCTACTACCAATACTGAGCACATGGTTTCTCTATCCAGCAAACGTGTATATAAGGATTGCACCACAGATACCGCATTTGGGTTATGCAGCATCTTTCGACTACAAGAAAGTTTTTCCACACGTCGGTATTTCTTTGTTTTTTCTCCTTTTTTTATCTGGGTGACCATGGCTATTCCGGTAATCTTATTAGCACACTGTTTCATATAGCTTGCTAATAGTTGTGTGTGGGATTGCAACTCATTTCCGATCGCAATTGTTAATCGAATGAAGCTCAGAGCGAGTTCGGCGCAATACGAATTGTTGCAGTGGAGGAACAGCCTTTGCGTTGTGCTTTCTAGCTGTGCCTGTTCTATCGTCTGTTTGGTGTGCTATGGAGCTGCAATAGTAAAGCTACGTCGCACTACTAGACGGTACTATACTGTTTACTTATGTAAATTCCATTAATGTTTTCTTCATTTTATTTTATTAACTTTCAGCTTTTCCCTTTATTGCGGGAAACAGTATTAATCGGATCGAAGCCTGAAATAGTCGTGGTGCTCGAGTGCGCTCATTAGCTTAGTATCGGCGGGATTCCTTCACTCATTTATTACAACCGTACAATATAAGTTTGACTGGGCATACTCCCTTTTTTCGGGGATTTAACCCTTGTAAGCTGAAGCCGAACTGAGCGGAATTGATGGTCAAACTTCCTATTTGTTTCGTCCGACTAGACGCTCCTTTAGAGAAATAGCATGCATCTCCGGATGGCACCAGAATATGACGTTCAAGCTCGAATTTACGCGTCTAGACTTACTGCTTTCTAGACGCAGAAAGAAAGGAAAACAAAGATGTTTTGGATAGCGAGAGCAAATACTGACGCAGTCGTCACAAAGTTACATAGGACCAGTGTACAATTTCACCTATCCCTGTGATGGCGGACGAAAAATTGAAATCAAACACATTCTTTCAGTTGTATGAATCGAAGTACTGCGATGGTGAAAGCCGAGCGGTCGCTGTCATTTCTCACCTTTACCAACTGTATTTGTATGCTTACTCTCGCTTCCACAAATGTAAGCTTTTTCAGACAAACATTACGGTGAGCCATCGCCGTATCATCCGTTGTTCCGTTGATCTTTGAATTGCTCTATGATGTGCAAGAGCGTCCGGCGAATCCTCCTCGTTCGAGGGACAAGGACCCTTCCATTCCTTTCATTCAAAACTTTACAAAGAAGTCTGACCATCGGGCCGGCGGTCGTCCAGGTGTTCGTTTGACGTCCCGAGGGATCCAGTCGGTAACCGCTCTGGTCCAACGGTCATCGCAAAATCGCATGACGTGTCCGGCCCACCTTATCTTCGATTCCTTGGCGAAAACGGCAGCGTCCCTGATCTTCGATCGTTGGCGTAGTTCGGCACTCCGGATTCCCCTCTGCACTTGCGTGTATAGGGTTACTCCTAGCATCGTCCTCTCGACAGCGCGTTGGATAACGCTGACCGCATGCTCGTCCTGCCTGCGCAGAGTCCAAGTCTCTGAGGCGTAGGTTAGGGCAGGAAGGACAGCGGAATCGAAGAGGTGGGCACGGAGCCGGATGTTCTTCGTCTTCTTCACTACTCCCTGTTCTTATACGGTGAGCCGTATCACGATCAAAATAGGCTGTGGTGTGCAAGCCCCTTCCGAAAGCCTTAACCGCAAGGAAGCTCGTAAGCAATAACTTATTGCTGGATCGCTAAGCTTTTCAATAAAGGAGTATTATTGAGCGATTAGTTATTATGTGTTTGGTCGGAAAATGAAGTTGAACGAGTATCGAGGATTCAAAGTTAATGATCGTGATCTTGTCAGTGATCCAACTTAGGAATGGAAGGGTGGCAGGTTGAAGCGGATAGCGGTTAAATCTCTTAAATCCTTCCCGAGAGCTATTCTCGAATTCAATTCCATTCCTGCTAAACGACTCCCTGAACGAAGTTGCAGAGCCTGCTGTTAGGCGGAAAGAAGCAAGCAAGTATTTCTGGGTCTCCCGCTTTCATAACAAGGTTTGCTGCTTCGGAAGACATGAAACTGGGAGTTTCATGCTGGCTTCAGTTCACCAAAATGTGAAATTATCTAGAAGAAAGTTGTTATTGTTCCAGGGTTCGAAATTCGGGTTTTCCTTGTTTTCTCATTGTCCTCCTCACTTTATCTTATATCTTTGGTGCGACGAGCATATTGATAACCAACTTTGCTAAAATATTCTAAGGTAGCCTAGTACCCTGGCAACGAACCTTACAGCACGAGTATGTCGACTGCGATATTAACCTTCAGGGGCTGAAACTACTTTTTTAGAACCATATCTGGTCAAATTGGCACTTCTTTCTTACATCAAAGAGTTCTAGCGGGCATTAGTCAAACTCGATTTGTATAGAAGTTTGGGATAGTCGGACACACTTCTCTACAAATTAGGGATGCTATATCTACTGGAATCTATATCACTTTAGTGCCGTCTGAAAATGCTTCACTCCTGAGCCGCATACGTGGAATGCCGCAGTGCCAAAGTCAGACAATTCAAAGGGAAATTCAGCAAAGGTCGATCTACAAATGAGCAGATCATTTGCATTGATTTGATGATTACGTTTGAATGTCATATATTTGTGATAAAAGTATAACTTAGTATTTTCAGTTGTGTTTCCTGCTTTATTATGATGTCAATTTGGTGTTTACATTTCGATCATTTCAAATCGACTTGCTGTTATTCCTGCCAATATGGGTTTTGTACTTCACACATCCGGCATTCAAGAAAAGCATCACAAATTCTACGTCAGTCAATGTCATGGCTTCGGATTTCCAATCTTCAAAGAGAAAAAGTGTGAATCCATCATCAGTTGTCATCCAGTGAAATGAAATATACGATATCACCATGTTATGATAATATGATGTTGAGTCAGAAATGAATACCTGTTTGCTCTGAGCTAGCTATAACTGTCAGCGTCGATTTTCGCACCGGGATGTCGATGCGCGACTCGTGAATGTATGTGTATGTTTCAAATGAAACCTTCGACGTTACAAACTCTTGTCTACACTATATGCCTGTCTTCATGTCTGTGGGTGTCACGAAATTCTGTACTACCTAAAGAACCACGAGAGTCTAGCGAGGTTGGCATGGGTGGGGCATGTGCTCAGAGCACACATGAGCGGAGATTGACTCCGCTAGAGATAGGTGGGATATTCAATAAAATGGGTGATGCCAAGGGCAAAATTTTTGAAAATTTTTTGGAATTTCTTTCCAAAGCAGCCCAGGAACCGGGAGCTTGGATGAGGGTTGCATTGAGTGGCCAGTTCGAATACGAGAGCCCTACACGAGGTTCGATAGGCGTCATATGAATACGTTGACGAATACGCTGAAAAAAATCATAGCTCAATTACGAGAAAACCCAAAGGCATGAAAATTTGATGCAGAAACATGATCTCAGGTGTGTCCTAATCTGATATAAGTTGGGAGTCACCCACAATTGCCGGAGACTGTTCTCGAATTTGCGTTAGTTTCTAGAATTTTTGCTTGATCCTGCAGTTGAATGGAGAGCGGTGTAAAAGTCTACAGAGTTTAGCGAAAGAAGGTGGCTTATTGCTACTGGTGGTTGTACAGCAGTTGGCGAAGTATGCCGCAAAGCATTATAAAGTGGTTCTGGGTCTGATAAACAGCATTCATAGACCAGTAAAAAGGTTTATACAAAGCTTTATGGTGAGCGGAGCCAGAGAAAATGTTAGCTCTTATCTTCAATGATCCTAGGTGTTAGACGAACGCTATTGTGCGAAATCGATCTGCTCATTGCTTGCGCAATAGTGACGCTTCACCCTCTAATCATCGCCGTGACAATTACATGCCTACTGATCGTAGAATGGTAGCCGCGTAGAGCTGCTCTCCACGGTGTCTCCAGCATGTGCAGTGTGCTTAAATCTCTTGACACCTAGTGTACAATAATTACTCGGGTACCTTACTGGAAGCCCACTGCGCGGCAACAAGGCAGAATCGGCTGACAAGTCGCAGCGCGTACTGTAGTGAATTCGCGTCAACTTACAGGGTTTTCCATCACAGTTCGTAAACTTTGCATTCCATTTCGGAAAAATGCAAGCAATTTCGTAAACGTTTCAGTTATTTTCGTCAACGTTCCAGTCCCACTTAGTAATCGTTGCGATTCCAATTTCGTCATTTCGTCATAAACGCAAGTCTTCATTCTTGCAATCAATCTCGACAAAAAAAATTTGCTGAATTTTACATGACAGGTTTTATCGAGGGTCCTGATCACGATGCGACATCCATTTTTGGCGCTGGCGCCAAATTGGCGCCATTTGGCGCCAGGTTTCGCCACGACTCATTCCCAGCAAATTCGCTGTAAAAGGATAAAAGGATAAAGCATTTGCCGTTGATCAATCCCTTTTTGGGATGCGGCACGCATTCTACTTCCATTTGTACATTCGTAGTGGCGTTTGAATGCGATGTGGCCTATACAATGACTTGCGGGGGCCAGCCGATGTACAAGTCAGTGTTTTTTATCCTCCCAGACAAGTCTGGTACCAATTAACCGACCCCGGAGGGATGGAAGGCTTGGTTGGCCCGGGCGACTCACGACCCAGGATTTGATCCCCGGACCGCTCGCGTGGTAAGCGCGCCACTTGTCACTACACCACTTCCGCCCTAAATTCGCTGTAAACCTGTGTAAATGGGCTATTTTGCGTTCCGATAACACTGTGCCATGCGTTTTTGGCATAGGAGTTAACCGGACCTAACCGGTGAGAGGGCGCAAGGGAGTGGGAATAGAAGAGGCGCTAGCGCCAAGATTATCATGTTCGTAAACGAGGCTCGGAGTAAGCCTTATTCACAAGTTTACAGCGGATTTTCTGGGAGTGAGATGACTGAACTTATGTATATGTCACAAACCATGCCACGACCCTCGATAACCCCTGAAGGGTAAGCTTCAGCGGAATTCTTATTTTTGCCGAAACTGATTGCAGGGTTGAAGGTGCATGCTAAAGTTTACGAAATTGGTTGCAACGTTTCTGACATAGAAGATAAGGCTTACGAATTGTGGTGGAGAAACCTGTATATAGAGTGTAACCGTTCTACGTCCTATATCGCACATCACGCGCTACGACTCGTCCGTTGCCGCTCCATTCTCGTACCGCGGCAGGCCTCCCGTCGTGTACCCCTATTAATCTATCAATATCGAAAAGAAACGTGCAATCCCTCAGTGGACGCTGACTGAGCCAATTTCACCATTTCTTCCCTACTCCCACTGTTGCAGTATTGCATTAGCACCCGAGATCATTTTTTGACGAAGTATGGCTTTTGCGTCATTCTTCTCAGGTATGATGAGGGTGCACAGAGTTTGTCATTCCCCGCAGCATAACGACTCTACTGTGAATAGGAATGGAAAATAGAATGTGAATTCAAAACATCAAGTTACTTGTAGGTATCACTTATTCATGTGCGTCCTACAAGTGATCGGCTTCATCCGTCAGCCTATCGGTTGTCTGTTTGTCCGTCAATAAATTCCAGATTATCTGATGAATCACTTGGATAGGTCGAATCAGGTTTGGGATGGATGGGGAATGGTTCAGAAGTTCAAAGCAGTGATTTCTTTGATTACTTTTTTTACACTCGAAAAATTGTCCATTCGAAATCGTAACTTCGTATTCATGTGTGAACCTTACTGCGTGAATTCAGAAGCACGACATATTTGACCTTAATAACAGTTTGAAGATGTTTAAAGACAGTCCTGAAATAGTGCATTGGATCATTTTGTGGACTTGACGTTCAGTACCTGTGCGCTCTATGGAAATTATGTATGGAGATTATATCTAACGTATTTTGATTTCACCAGAACCATGAACTACGCATGACTTTTAACAATGTTCATTGTGCGTTCTCCTTCAACCCGCGCCAAATATGTTGTGGATCCACAAGGAAATAGAAAATTTCAAAATATGCGAACGTCATCCAGAGAATTCCGGTGCACCTCCAAGTGGAGATGGCAAGTAACACTATTTCCTGCCGGTGATGGTGTCAAACCCCGGATCGGAGTGAGCCTTCCATCTGTTCGACCTCAAATTGTTACCAGTCTCTTCTGGAAAGACGACTTACTTGTACATCTTGAACCCGCATGCCATTTATACTCCATATCGCAATCGGATGTCACCGCACTTTGACCGATAGTAGAAAGCGTGGCGTAGCGAAAGAAGATAATGATTCAGCAATACTTCTGTAGTACGGAGGATCAAAGAGAATTCAAATCGCATATGCCAGAGATCGCTTTTGAACAGGATAGAAACATCTTCAAAACTTTGACCGTTCTCAACCATCGTATTACAATAATTGAACTCTACTGCCTTCGAACTAACAAGGCGCTCGAAAAAGTTTTTAGACGTTATGCTTAATTGCTGCCTGAATACGTCAGTAGATAATGGTTTCTTTGTATGCACGTTGAAATGAGTGTGAAGACATGTAGAGCATCACATCACATTGAATTGTACTTAATCCGCTAAACTTTGAAGTCTCAGTTAACACATTGGCGACCAAGCAATTTTTGGGCAATCTCGTCCTTTTGGGCAATGCGTCCTAATGCTGAAACACTTCTATACGGTACACATACTAAAAAAAACTCAATGCGCTGTTGAAACCTCATATGCCTTGAACAAATGCTTAGTGGCTGTAAACCCACCGAAATCTCCCCGCCCAGCCAAGGGAGAACATCAGAGCGCTCTCGAAAGAAATGCTACAATCCACAAATGAGCTTGAACACAGTTCTCTTTGTTGTCAACAGTTGTATGTGCCAATGACCTAGCTGATAGCAAACAAAAAGCCAGCTTCATATATCAGAAAAGAACAAGCTTAACCTTGAAGAAGCACTTCCAAGCATCCCTTCTGTAAAACACTCACTGTGGAAAATGCTCACAGAACATAGCCATCACAAGTTTTACGTATTCCGGGTTATTACTGAACCACTAAAAATTAGGCATGTTCACAAAGGAAACCCGAAACCCGCATAACACAGGTCATTTTCAGGAATAATGATATTTGTTACATCATTCAAAAATGATGACTTACTGTGATGGTAATCTATTATTTATTTCATGAAAAATTTCTGTAAGAATCTCCACCGCTGAATGAGAATTCTGAGCGCCGTCTGGTTGCGTACTAATGTTCACTCCTTAGCATGTTCAATGTCATAATCTGTCGTTCACCTTTGACGCTTTCTCGCCCTCTCTCCCTACACGGGTAGCTTTCAGTGCGTGTGGTGAGGGTGAAAATGTAGTTTGAGGGGGCCACTCATAATATCTAATCGAACTGACAATATCTAATCGAAGTGGAGCTGCGGAAGGGCGGTCATATCTAATCACCATCCAGACACAGTCTCTGAATGTATGATTAGATAGGGATACCAACTCGAGATTCCATACAAAATCGGATACCTGAAAGGCCTCTCTTCGAGGGCTCGCATGGCAGTCGCAAGAAGGGAAAGTGAAGAGCCAGCAAGGTAGCAGCCATTTATTTAGGCTCTGAAGAACATTCTGCGCTTTTGGCAGTTTGATTTCAAGTGCCTGCTATTCTCGGCTCATTCGGAACCTTTTTGATTGGAGTAAAGACTGTTAGAATCCAAAACACTCTCAATAAAAGCTGCGTTGAAAGCCGGGTAGTGCAGAATACTGGAGCTCTAGAAACGATGAACCGGCGGAGGTCGTTTCCGCATCATGTTGGTTTTTGAAGCATAACTTTGGAGAAGCTATCCAAGGTAATCGAGAAAGTGATTAATTATAGCCAAAGGTCTACCGAGTATGACGACCAGGACTGATTTGTAGTCCATCTTGCTTCAAACTTCTGCAGGGTTGGTTGTGGAATGTGCGTCCGAGCTATCTGTCAGGGACGAGCCGGTTCCTTTATAATGAGGAATTTCGAGCATATGTGCCAGAGTTCTAGGAGTAATTTTACGCATTAGAAGTACTTTATCCACATTAACACAGCACTTGGTTTCGAGTCGTATACACACGAGACCTTATGAAATCACCTGAACCCTTCCTCACTGAAGTTCACTTTGCAAATTCTTAGAGCCTAATCGCGGTAGATCACTTCACCTAAAAAAAAAAAAAAAAAAAAAAACAAAACAAAAATGTCGATCAAACTGTAGAAGAATCTCGTTTTTTATCTGTTGCGTCAGCAAATGATTAGAAAACATGAAACAAGCTAGAACGCGGCGAACGACCCTTCAAAATGGTGAGCTGTCGCGGCACGCCCTATTTGAATTTTTGTGACTTTCCAGCTCTTCCCGTACAACAAGAAAACACAATGCAAGTGCGATTAGTTTAGGAGGAACCCTCTCAATAGATTTGTGCAAACGTGCTTCAACCAGAACGTTCGACTAATCGTTGGCGTTGTCCAATCTCCGATCCACCACCCTCACAATCTTTGGGGCTCTCGCTATTCTTACAAAAGCTTTTTGAACAATTGCTTCAGAACATATTTATGATCTCAGCAGTGCGTATGTAATATCTTGACCTGCTTTCTCTCCATACTGGCCTGCTTTGAGCTAGAAAAAGGAAATCATGCAAATTTGCTCTTGGAGTATGCCGTATTCAAGGCTTCAAAAAATGACAACTAAATGATAAGAAACATAGCTAGCCTAGCTGTTAGATAGAACAAGAAAAGCTCTTCAAAACCACATACAGCTCATTGGCGGCTTGCTTGAATTCGTAACAAAATAAGCGTTCAAAACGAAACACCGAAAAGCGCAAGAACTTTCTTCACGACCTAATAGTCATGGAATAATATGACAAGTGTGAACGTACTAGACGTAGGCCACGGTCTCAGTGAAAGAACTATGTATAATGTATGCTATACGAAGTTATTACGTGTGCCTGTTCCGCAAATCTCCACTCGATTAGTTAGGTACCCCCTCGATCACGCAAAATTACATTTTCACCGCTTTTGAGGCTCTCCTTCACGACTACTGTGCGGCTTGATTCGGCATCTTATCATTAGAGTATGTTCGACTATGGATAGCATTGTCTTAACATGCAATTTGCGTTCAGCTAATAAAGAAGTCTGCTCAAAATTAACTTCTTGAGTCATAATGTCCGGCTATGCCTTTTTCCACGTAACTAACGAGCTTTCCCTAGGAAATTTGAAGAACAGTGTTTCATTGTATTTAGCCGCCCAAGATTGAACTTTTCTGAGTCTCCGAATTTTCACCCCTTCATGACGCTCAACGCTGACCCCAAAAAGTAGGGTTTACATGAGGGAGGAAAGAAGCTCCCTTGGCGAAAAGGACAGCAGTCGTCAGTACGTCTTCTTATTTCTTCATTGGGTAACTCGACCATGACCTGACGTTGAGGGGGTCTGTAATAAATGTTCATCGTTCTCGATCTTATATTTGATGCACGTCTGCTAAAACGCCATCTACGAAATACACTCTTTCATACTGGAAATATTTGTCGTGCTGCTTCTAAATGAATGTCAGCTTCTGGCGTAGCCTCATCCTACCGAAAATCAGATTCGAAATTATTGCCTAATTGTAGCGACAAAAGGTCATTAACTGTTATCAGCACGGGTAAGACTTTTTGCTCATTATTTATAACTCGCCTTATTGGCCTAGATAGGCTAGTGCACCCCAATTATCCTATTCCTGCTATCATAGTGCGTATGTGAATGCATTACGGCAGTGCAGCACCACCTAAAGCTCCTACGGTCTTTCACATCGTTGCATTTTCATCACATTTGATAGGTTTGAACGCGTCAATTCAGCGGCTCTGCCAATAGCGATGATTCCGTTTCTATGCCCTGTTAATAAAGTCGAGGCGCGAGATATTTGTAGCATCAATAACATGTCCTCGCTTCTGAAGGTGGATTTTACAACAAAAAGGTATCTTTACGGATTAGGGTAAGTCAGTGGTCAGTGAAGTAGGAATGAAGAAGAAATCATACAGCATCTAACCCGAGAAATGGGTGCTCTTCATTGCCCGTCTATCTCCGCATGGATGCGACTCTCATCGTGCCCTCTTCAACGCTAACGCCCTCTGCTATGATGGTGTGGTGTTCCGGGCCTAATGCGCCAAAGGGAAGGCTATGCCAGATCGGCGGGGGGATATCGCAAAGTTGAGGCTTCCAGTAATTGAAATTGTTCCACTGCCCGGCAGCTCGCAACCCACATGTATAGTGAAAGAATGACCAGAATACTCACAAAAAAATCTGGTTCATGATTTGCCACACTCTTGTAACGACTGAAATATAACCGATCACATTGCTCTTGCTTACTCGTTTCCTTAACGAGAAAAACTACGATGATAGCGACCACCTCAAAACAGACATTCACTGATTCTTGAGTAGAAGGTTGCGTAGTTTTGTGGGAGAGGCACCCATTCACTAGCAGGTAGATAGAGGGCGCTTGCGGAAGCTGTGCAAATAGACACTTGAGCAAGTAGCTTCAAAAAGCAAACCGTAAGCTTTTTGGAATTGGCGTCGAGTGCAACTTACTACTACTCAGCCATAGTAATGGATAATGTATCACAACATGCAACAGTGAAACTGAAGAATCTTCACTCAAGGTTGACTCGAAGGTCATGCCATCTTTCACGATTCTAATGTGTTTAGTGTGTGTAAGCATGCCTGACTTGGCGTCCATCCCTTTTCCCTTCATATGCGATAGTTTGAAGGTTATTGCTGCTACTCTTATTTCTGTTAAAAAAGCATTTGCGGTAATTTTTCCCAAGCTGTTCATGTCCATTCTATAGATCGCACTATAAATATGTACGAACAACATTTTTCACCTTATGAGAAATATCAAGTTCAAGGAAAGTTTTTGTTTTTTTTGCGAAGTTGACAAATTCGTCATTCGTTGTTTTATCTTTATGCTCACGACGATATAAATAATCTTGTCATAACCACGTCGTAAATATTTCTGCCCGATCAGAGACGATCTCTCGCGCGGACATTCACACTCGCCATGCCGTGCCGTCTGTGCTCTCCGCGCGGATGTTCACTCTCGGCACTACTCTCGCATGGTAGAGAGCTATGGTCGAGGATTTCCTCGACCGTTATTCACCCTGGTACTGAATATTGCTGAATTGGCCTTGTGCTACTCTTGTTTTGCGTAGTCATACTCATACCAGCTTAGCTCCGCACGCTATCGCATGCATGAAATGAAAGGCTTTTGACTAGGCAGCCGGTGGAGCTTCGGATTTCACAGCTAATCCATGAGTTGCTTCGTAAGATGCGTCAGCTGAATGTTCTATAGGTTGCCCATGTGCAGAAGGTGGTATCTATAAAGAAACCACTATGCATCGCATGACTTAGCATATTCCAGCGGTCGAATAGTATTTGAATGGTATACTGATATTGAAATAGAAATACCAGTACACGTTACGTAATTTTCCTCAAGTCTTCATCACACATTTACAAGATTTCTGGGGTGTGTAGCAGTCGAATGCTGTTTTGGGCTGAGGATGGCAACACAAATGAAGTGACATTAAACCGAAATGTGTTCTCTTGAAACTGTTTTGAGCAACCTCGTTCCAGGCCCGAGCCAAATATGAACCCATCCTACCCCCCCCCCCCCCGCATCACTTGTTGGAACTAGCGCCTAAACTCTGGAAACTAGGACATGCTCTTCGATACCTGAGACCATACTATCCAAGGCTACTTATCTTTCTTTATCAGCTCCTATCAGTTTGCGGCCTCCAACAAGTATGCCGTCCCATCCCTACATAATATATAAAAGGCAGCGCTCCACATTTCTGGAGCGAAACGCTATGAATTTCAAGATAAGTAGACGCACGCACATACACATACACACGCTCACCTTTTAACGAAACGCTTCATACCGTTGTTCGTCGAAACATTCATAGAAAGCTAAGAACAATTTGTTCAAGGTAAACCATGGCGACGTCGTTACCAGGAAACCTGCTTGGTAATATACAACCATACGCAATTCGTTCCATATCATTTTCACGCACTTCACGTACTTCCTTTTAATATATGTCCTGTACGGCGTTCCGAGCCTGCTTGTAACGCTGAGAATTCTCCAAGCAATTATCACTCCGAAGTTCAGAAGCTTTTTTGGGAAGCCTTTTTTCGTTCTCTTCGCACACAACTGCATTGAGTAAGTGGACTCTTATAACGCCTCATGACGGAGACCGTATGATAGCTAACGCCAACGAAAGGGTACATGGAAATACCTCTTGATAAAACTATTACTATATAACTATAGGCACATTTCCGTTTTTTCAAAACTTTCAATTGATAAAGGATTTCTATAGAAGAACATCTGGTATGCAATAAATCCGCTCAACCGGTCCCGTTCAGATTCATGCCCGAGACGTAAAGCATTCTCGCCTGAGCTTAACCTTACACATTGCACTATCTTCTTGAAATCTTCTTACATACAGGGAAATAGCTTTCTATGGTTTTTGGTGACTGGGATGTGCGTCAATTTTCGAGCCATCGGTATAATGAAAATAGTGAGATTCATATAATATTCCTTCCATCTCCTGTACAGTTACCCATGCGGTGGTAGAGCTTTAAAGCAGCTAGAAAAGAATCACTCACATCGCTGGAGAGAATACATATAATGATCTTCGATAATGCCCTATGTCTGAATGACATATAATGAGCTATTTGTGTTTGTTTCTTCTGCCGTTCGAGGTTGATAGGTGGAACATTTATTCAATCGGCCTAACGTTTCGACAAAATCGTCGTCTTCTGAGGCCTAAACGCGGTTCAAGGTTGAAATTTACGATCTAATCCACCAAGCGCCTTATCTCCTCTAGCGGTTCCGACTTTCCGCCGGGAGTCCCACCGAGAAACATAAGCAAAACGAATTTTGAACTCACCCAGGGTTCCACCGTTTGTGCGGGAATCCCGCTTCTGCACAAAGCGCCAGTCAGTAAGAAATAAGACACACCGTAACGTCTCCTGATTTTGGTAATCGCTGGGAGACGCACGTACGCTTTATTCTACAGCTCGCAGTGCGGTATAAATGGCGTCAGATCATTCGTTCATCCCGGCCTCGTTCTGGATTTCTTGCGGAAATCTAGAATGCTTCCAATTCCTTTCTAGCAACAAAACACCACAAACTTTTTTTTCGAAACTAACGCCATTGTGCTTCTCAACCTTATGGCCTTCAAGAACCGCTGGACGTTCGCGTGAGCTATGTCTCACGCGAACACTTGCGCAGCCAAACTGGTATAAATCATGATACGCTATGTTTGTCTGTGTGTTACGGTGTCTGTCTGTCACGAAAATTCCCTACTTTGTGGAGATTCACCTGGAGAGACCGGGTCAAGTGTGGGATGGGTGTACCATATCTCGAGAAGTAAAAAACACACATCAGCTAAGCGGAGCCCCGCCCACAGTGGGCGTGGCGTGCATCGGTGATTTCAATTCAGTCACAAAACAGCCTCGAGACCGGGACAAAAGTGGGCATAGGTGTGGGTTGGTAAGCCAGATCGAATTGAGGAGACCCACCCTCGGTGGGCGGGGCGTTCTCTAGAAAAAGCAGTGCTTTATGAAAAATTTCATAACTCGGTTTAGAGAAAGCCTACAGAGCATAGATTGTGGCAGGGAGCCAACGCCTAAAGTTTTTCCAGCAAATATGGAGTGACGGAGGCCGACTACTACGAGCGGAGCTTAGTAGACGAAGTTCCCTACAAGAGCTCATAAATCTACTCCGAAATGACTTGAATACTCTGAATACTTTGATGTCCGCTCTTCAAGGATTATCTCGCCATCCTTGCAGGACGCATCTATGCCATTCGTCTCGATTTCTTGCCATTTGTTGCCATCTCTGTCCAAATAATTTCCTAAAAGGATCACTCCACCTGGCTGGGGGTCTGCCTTGCGGCCTTTAATTCCGCGGGGATACCAATTGGTCATTCGTGATGTCCAATTCCGAGATGACTTACTGACCGGAAAATAGTGGATTAGACCTTAAAAGAGGAGGGGAAGCTAAATGTCAGGCTGGGCGTGGCTTACACCAAAGTGGGCGGAGTTTGCAACCAGGCTTATAACTCGGTTCCTAGGAGTCCCGGAGTCCGGGAAAAAAGTAAATAAGGTTGGCGGAGGGGTAAACTGCTGTTGGCGGGCGGGCATGCGCCAAAGTGGGCGGAGTTTGCCACGAAACTTCATAACTCGGTTCCAATAAGTTCCGGAGATGGGAAAAAAGTAGAAAAAGGTTGGGGAAGAGATGATAGTCAACTGATATCAGTGGGCGAGGCCATGCACCAAAGTGGGCGGGGTTTGCCACAAAGATACATAGCTCGATTTCGTCTCCCACAAGACCTCATAATTCGGCTCTGAAATGAATTAACGGTACAGAGCTCAGAAGGGGAGGGAGGGTTGAGTGTAAACGCTGGGCGTGGTACAGTGGGCGCAGTTTGCTACCATTCTCACAACTCGGTCCCAAGAATCCCTGGAAGCCGAGAAAAAGCTGGATCGGGGTCGGCGAAGGAAATGTGGTCAACTGCTATCGGTGGGCGGGGCATGCACCGAAGTGGGCGAGATTCGTTGTCAAACTTATAGCTCTCCAAGGAGAACCGAAGACCAGGAAAAAGTTTGAGGAAGTCTGACAGCCTGAAAGTCAGGGCGGGGGCTATATGGTATTGGGGTGGCGCGCGCGGCGATGTGGACGACGCTTGCCAGAAAGCGTTACAAAATTATTGATGGCTCTGTCATATCACTGCAGTCCCGTGTGATGCACGCGAATGCGTGCGCCGCCAAACTGGTAATTTATAATTTGCTGATTTCAAGTTCAATATGAGAAAAGAAACAGGTACACCACCTAGCACTTTGTTCAATGCTCATTTTATCGTGGCAGCAACAGCTTTACAACTTTCAGGGCATGTTTTTCTTTGTGATAGACTTCTTCGTGGTGCGAGTGCCACTTTCGGGACTAATCACTGGCTGGTTGACAACGCTTCCACCTGGCCGATACATCACTGCAATTTACGTACTAAACTTCTATCTATTTTACGTCAGTCTATATTCAGCAACCTTCCTGTCGATAGTGAGAGCCACAATCATTTGCTTTCCTATTGAAGGCGACAAGGTAAGAGAATTGAAGTGTCGAGCAGCTACAAATTCCAGTCAGCTAAGCTTAAGATCTCCAAGAGTGTTTGGACGTTCGTTTCCTTGTTTGTCCTTCTCTTAAGGCTAGGGGTTACGATAAAAATTGCTTGGGTATATAGTGGAAGTGGAGATGCTGAATAATGCCCCAGTGGCGAAAAAAAGCAAAGAAATCCGTCAAGAAGGCGCAAAATGGGACCCCTTTCTCCCGTTGATCCTCAATAATGGACGAGCTAGCAACCGACTAAGAGGTTGTCTGCAGATGCTATACCACTATCCACCAGCAAAGACCATGATTGGCTGATAATGCATTAAATTCCATTGGGAAAATTACAGTCAAAGTAGACCACCTTTTCCTAAGGATCAGAACAATCATGCTGCTAGCAACACATCGATAGGAGCAGCGCAGGTGGCGCAGAGGTCGAAAGAATTGGCAGCCGTTGACCAAAGACCACATCTCGCTTTCTTCGGCCCTTACTACTACTTCCACTGGAGTAACGTCCATGCTTGCACACACACTTTATCGTAATCGTTATTAAGCAATAAATTCGTGTTTGTGCACTGCTTAAACGTTATTTACCCGCGTAAACGTACACTTTAACTACGCTCCTTTCCACTTGTGACACCAATACCTCGTGCATGTACAAAAAAAGGTGTTTCACATAGTGAAGGTCATTAACACATTCATGACAAGGCGACAGAATGTCAACTCATCACCTTTCATTATTGAACCCTAGGTCTGTTTGCCTTTGGTTTTCCTGCTTTGCCCTCTCCCCACCCCACACATCCTCATTCACTCCACTTCCAACCTCAGATCGCAGCACCACGAGTACGCCCACAGTAGGGGTTCACATAGCCATTGGGAACGTTCCTTGTGCTAATGCGAGGTCTCAACATTCAAGCGCCTATAATTTCCTTTATATTCAACCCAATCTTTAGGGCTAACTGGAAACGACAAAATTAGCGTTTTCGAACGAATCCTAAGACTTTCCCCGAGAACCATTCTCAAAGAAGAGATCCTTGTTCCGTTTTCCAGAGGAGTATGGTCCAATCCTTCAGAAGGTGCAAACCTTTCGTTTTTTTCAGGATCACTAAAAGGTTCATATCTTTCCTCATAATTGATTTTCTACAAATCTATATGGCTAACTGGGAACTAGAAGATTGCCTTTAGTATGAATGCTAAGTCTTTTTGAAAGAAAAGTTTTTGAAAAAAAGGTCCCTTTCCTGCGTTTTTTCCCGCTATGGCTTTTTTGCCATTCTCCTGCGACGCGAAGATTCAACCTTCAGACGCCACAATTTTCTGCAAAACTGGCGTGATGAAAGGCTGTGAAAGACATCAAAAACTTCGATATCATTGCTTCATAGCGCACTCTATAAACAATGCGACGACCCCGCCCCTTCCTTCTGCCAGATACGACTTCCCCTTGCTGAAGTTTGCGCAACAGGCGGTTGACCCTGATCCGAGTTCTGGGTGTAAAATGATGACGAATGAAAAACATCGAACTTGGATAGATAAGAATTCAACGGTGCGACATCATTTCAAAATATATTTACGGCCGATCATGTAGAAGTGCACATTTAGCTAGCTTCAATATACCCTGTTCGGCGAAAAGGGAAACGGGCAACAACAAGCTCGTGGAGTTATTGGAAACTCGTCGGTCTCCTATGGAGTTTTAGCATTGTATTTCTTGTGTGATCTTTTTCAAGACGGATGTGTAATCGGATAACTCTTATTTTGTTCTTTTCCTCAACCACAGCAATGGGTTTGAAAACCTGTACAGGGTGTTCCATAAATACTGCAACACGTTTCTTAACTTGTAACTTCTCTCAAAGTAGACATATCTTCATGTGGTCATACACAATTCTTAGCCAGTCATTAAGTGTTGAAAGGAATGACATTTATTCGATAAGTCCCTCTATCGCTGTCAGTATGGCTCCCAGTTGCTTCGAACACAACTCTAGTGTTTCCCGCATGGCATCCTGCAGTGCCTTCTTCGTAACTTTCTAGAGAAAAGGTCTCAGCTTCTCTATCTGGACGCATTGTTTAGTGCAGGCTCTGTCCTCTCATACAGCCCAAATAGGATGGTCCAGCAGGTTGAAATCGAGAGATATGAGAGCCATTCCTTTGAGGACGTGAAATGGGGAACAGTATCGTGAAACCAGTCTTAAACAATTTTTGCCCTTTATGCAGAAGCTGGTTACCTTTGAAAGGAACGTCATTCCTCTTTGAAGAAACCAGATACCACAACAACAAATGGTGCACTGGAGCATTCGTTAGCTAGGTCTGTATCGAGTTTTATTCGCTTTTCAACAGACGGTTGTGGTGAGCCACCTGTGATTGAGACCCTTGCCCAAATCGTGATAAAGATTGGCGGCTGCTTGTGACGAATATTCCTTTCACTCTGGTTGGACTCCACGGGACCTCATGTGGGCAACCTCACAGTTTGAAGATTGTAGCTCTGCTCCATAGGAGAAATTTTGTCGCCGATAAAAACGGTGCTCGCATGATCCCCGTTTTCGGCCCTCGACACCAGCTCTTTGAACTTTTTGTCTCTGCTGTGCTCCTCCCGTTGTATTGAGCAGTGGTGCGTATGCAACTTATAATGGACTGTGAGCACTTGTTATCTGACCACTCTCCACATGACTGTGCTTAGAAACTTCAGCGTCCTGGTCACCTTTCTCGAACCAGCCCGGGTATTGCAGTCGTTTCGCTTCTTCATGCTTTTCCTGAGATCCAAGATGCCAGAACTTGTCCGGCGACCGCAACAAAGACTACCTTCATTGGTCTTCTCTTCAGTACACGGTAGGCCGCGAAGGGGTTAAAAGTCCAAAGAAGTGCGATGTTCATCACCGTATGTCCGATCTAACTGTATGAGGGATTATGACCTCTATGGAGGTTTAGATGCACTATGAGATGTACAACGAATGGTAAGCGGTGCACTTTAGCAACGTTATCCACAAGAGGTTATAGGAAGTGAAGGTATGCCAACCTTGGGAAAAAGACTACAAACACCCACATAATTGAAGCTCAAAATGTGTTGCAGTATTTATGGAACACCCTGTAATTCTATTCTATACAAGGGGCCTGGTGCAGTTTAGCTGTAAAGCGTGCAAATAAGCAGGTGTCCACAACCTAATGATCAGACACTCCCGTCTTCAATCTTAAGAGACGAAGTTTCTTTTGCAATATTCTGTTTCAAAAAAAGCTGCGTGGGTGTATGACGCCACGCAGCTCATTGGGATACTCATCATCGGTTTGTCAAAAATTTTATTTTTGAAGTGTAGACTGTCCTGGCTGAGAAAGAGACCCTCCGTTCACATATTATTATTTAGCTCTCTCTGAATATAAAACGTTGGCAGAATAATGGATAAAGGACAAGGCGAGCAAGCAGGTTCCGAAGAGGGTTCAGCACGATCGACCATATCCACACGGTTACAAGACTCATTGAAGTTTCACGAGAGTACAAGATGCCGCTTTGTCTCACGTTCATCGACTTGAAGAAGGCCTTCGACTCTGTGGAGACAGAAGCGGTCATCGAAGCCTTGGGCAACCAGGGCGTCCCTACTCAGTACATCAAGATTCTTCGTGAGCTCTACAGCAACTTTACGACCAGAATCTCACCATTCTACAAGGAGGTCATCATCGACGTCAAGAGAGGGGTTCGACAGGGCGACACCATCTCGCCCAAACTCTTCAGCGCCGCTCTCGAGAACGTCAACTGGAATGGGAAGACATGGGAGTGAAGGTCCGGCAACTACACCACCTTCGTTTTGCTGACGACATCGTTCTTATAACGCCGAACATCGAGCAAGCGGAGCGAATGCTGGCTGATTTCGACTGCGCCTGTGGTAAGGTCGGTCTACAGCTGAACCTAACGAAGACGATGTTTATGAGAAACGGATTGGTTCCTGATGCCCCATTCACGCTCAACGGAACGAACATCACCGAATGCTCCAGCTACGTGTACCTAGGTCGGGAAATCAATATGATGAACGATCTAGCTCCAGAGCTGAGCAGGAGGAAACGAGCGGCTTGGGGAGCGTACAAGAACATCGAGGGAGTAGTGAAGAAGACGAAGAACATCCGGCTCCGTGATTCCGCTGTCCTTCCTGCCCTAACCTACGCCTCAGAGACTTGGACTCTGCGCAGGCAGGACGAGCATGCGGTCAGCGTTATCCAACGCGCTGTCGAGAGGACGATGCTAGGAGTAACCCTATACACGCAAGTGCAGAGGGGAATCCGGAGTTCCGAACTACGCCAACGATCGAAGATCAGGGACGCTGCCGTTTTCGCCAAGGAATCGAAGATAAGGTGGGCCGGACACGTCATGCGATTTTGCGATGACCGTTGGACCAGAGCGGTTACCGACTGGATCCTCGGGACGTCAAACGAACACCTGGACGACCGCCGGCCCGATGGTCAGACTTCTTCACGAAAGCTCTGAACGAAAGGAATGAAGGACTCGTGTCCCTCGAGCGAGGGTCCACTGGACAACTCTTGCACGCGACAGGGACGAATGGAGACGTTGCTGGCGCCCGCTCGAGCAATTCGATGATCAACGGGACGACAGGTGATACACATATATCATAAACCTTTGCTGTGTGGTGGAGTTAGAACATTTCGAGAAGGTTTGAAAGTCTCACATAAGAATTTTGGAGATCCACAAACTTTTCCATGCTTCTATCACTTTATAAAACTGTATCTTCATGATCCCCAAATAGCTAAGGGCAAGGTGGTGAGACACTCAAAAATGATGAAGCCATTTCAGGCAATCA